TTCCCACTGTTATGTGGAGAAATGGAGAGGGAAAGCAGGGGTCTGGCTATATCTCTTGGGCAAGATCCTTCTCTGTGGGCCTCAGTTGCATCTCTAAAACTCTCCCCTGCTCTCATGGGTGACGCTCACAGCTTAGGACAGTGATGGCGAACCTTTTGAGCTCGGTGTGTCAGCATTTTGAAAAACCCTAACTTAACTCTGGTGCTGTGTCATATATAGAAATTTTTTGATATTTGCAACCATAGTAAAACAAAGACTTATATTTTTGATATTTATTTTATATATTTAAATACCATTTAACAAAGAAAAATCAACCAAAAAAATGAGTTCGCATGTCACCTCTGACACGCGTGTCATAGGTTCGCCATCACTGGCTTAGGAGCTATAAACTGCTGAACTTCAGTCGTCAAGGAAATGGGTTTCGTTCATTCAACAGATATTTATTTATTCAGGGCCTCCTCTGTGTAGGAACTCTCTTCTAGGTAGTTGGGCATAGAAAATAAGTCAAAGTCATGGTGCTTATAGTGCCTATTACCTTGGGACTTGCCCAAGGAGATATGGCCAGTGGGGAGGGGAAAGGTACAAAAAAAGTTAAACAAACAGTATACAGTCAGAGAACGATAGTACAAAAGAGAAAAGTAAGCAAAGTAAGGGAATGGAGATGTGGATCATCAGGGAAAGCTTCTGAAAAAGTGACATGTCAGGGAGCGAGACATAGAGATATATGGGTGAAGACAGCTAGAGACAGAAGAAACAACAGGTGAAAGGCACTGAGGTCAGGACACATTTGGTGTGTCTATGGAACAGAAAGAAGGCCAGTGTAGAGAGTGGTAGGCGGTAGTACTGGGGAGATTACACAGAGTCACGTAAGGTCGGGCCTTGTTGGCTGAGATAAGAAGCTTAATCTCATCTTACTGTGGGTGTATTGGAAAGTCATCGGAGAGTTCTGAGCAGGGACAGTGAGTGACCTGATCTGATTTCCTTACAGAAGGTGGCAGTGTCTAACTTGGGGGTTCAAGAATGGAAGCCCAGTTAGGAGGCTCTAACAGTGGTTCCTGTGAGAGATAATGGTGATCTGGGTAGAATGGCAGGAGTGGAGGTGACCGGAAGTGGCCAGGGGAAAGAGAGAGAGAGAGAGACTTTGGAGATGGGGCTGGTAGGATTTATTGATGGATTAGATGTGAGGTTGCAGGTTTTTTATTTTTATTTTTTCTGGGCAATACGGTTGATGACTGATGGTGTTGTTTAATAAGTGGGGGTGGGGATACTGCAGTTTGAGAAGCCATGTTCTTCTACTTGGGTGCATGTGTAAAGAGTCAGGTACCTGGGTATGAAGAAAGATTGAGATTATATGCAGGAAAGTGATTATAATAATGGACAGATGAGATTTCAGGATAAAGAGAGAAACAAGGCCACAATAAGAGATGATGGACAGTGAAAAGAGATAAGACAGCTCCAACTGAGCTGAAGAGATTGTTGGAATGGAAATTCTAGAGTTAGTGATCTAGAAGGATGGGAAGTGGTAGGCAGGGGATGGGATATTTGAGATGAAGATTTTGGAGGAGGTATAGCTTTCCATAATAGTGAGATCTGGGATATAACCAGGGGAGTGGGTGGCAGAGGAGGGGTAAAAAGAAGAACAACTCAATGGAACGGAATGAATGGATCAACATGGATCAAGATGCCATGGGTGTTGTGTTGCAGAACAAGATTGTGGACCAGTGTGAGAGACTGCAGTTACAGAGTGCTGGCATCACCAAGTACATGGCTGAGGTCCTACCAGGGAAGAACCAGAGAGCAGTGGTAGGTAATTCTTCCCTTTCCCCCTCTACTAGGGTAAGACCCCAGCCTTCGGGGCTTGAACCAGTCAAGGTCCCTTCCTAACTTCACTGAGTCATTGTGCTGCAGCACAAACCTGGATGCCCAGGAAGGATGGTTTCTTCTCTCTCTGAGCCTCAGTTTTACCATCTGGGCAGAGTTGCACACTAGTGCAAAGACTGTTTTCAGGGGAAGGGATCGGGGAGGGTAGCATTTTCCTAACATCTAATTATTTTGTGCGCAGCCCCAGAATTAATTATCAGATAACCCAGGGGGCTTGTATGTTGGATATTCTTTATCATCGTCCTGTGCAGTAGGTGGCAGTAACATCCCTATTTACCAGACGGTTAATGGACTGGACCAAGGTCCCACATCCTCCTGCCAGAGCCAGTTCTATGACCTGGATCTTCTGACTCTGCAGCCAGTGCTCCTGCTGCTGCACTGCTGGTCCTTGTGACTCGTTGCCACACCTCCATCTCTCAAGGATGCTTTTCAAGGGCAGGGGCCATGAATTTCTTCCCCCCTCTTATTCCCCCTTAGTAGTGCATGAGAATGGACCATCGGATTTAGTAACATTGAAGATCCTGACAAGAGGAATTTTGTAGAGTGGTGGGGTGAAATCCTGATTGGAGTGCGTTTCAGAGAGCAATTTGGGATAGTTAATACAGGTAACTCTTGAGCGTTGCCCGTAGAAGGGAGCTGACAAATTGGATGATCCTGGAGAGAGATAAGAGATCAATGCAGAGGAGAAACTAAGATGGCGGCAGAGATAAACACCGGGAAGTTAATGCCGCTCACAACAATTGATTAATACCTCAGAGAAACAACACGGACTTCATCCAGAACCACAGGAAGCCTGGCTGACTGTAAACTCTACAACTAGAAGGAAGGAAAGGCACACTGAGACCCGCAGAAGCTGCAGGAGAGAAGCGCAGAGGTACGGGGCTCTCGCGGGGCTCGCGCGCGGAAAGGGGCCGGCACCTGAGGACGCGGCTGTCCTTTTGAATCCGGAGGGAGTCACAAGCCCCCGACGGCTCTGAACTCCGGTTCCGGGAAGTCTCTGGGGACCCGGGACTCAAGCGGGGAGAAACTGGACGGTCTGGCAGCAGGCGATCTTGGGGGCTGCTTTCCCTCAGAGGTGCTTGCAGCCCTCACCAGGACACTGAGACGCGCGTATCCTTAGGGCAGGTCTGCGGCTCCGCCATAGTCGCTTGCTCCACCGGCGGATTCCCTGAGACCCCGCCCACCCAGGCTGCCGCAGAGGCCTTTGCATATGAATGTCCCGGCCATTTGCAACCTGTAATTACCTCACTCGTTTCAGAGAGCAATTTGGGATAGTTAATACAGGTAACTCTTGAGCGTTGCCCGTAGAAGGGAGCTGACAAATTGGATGATCCTGGAGAGAGATAAGAGATCAATGCAGTTTTTTGTTTATTTTCTTTTTAAGATGGGAGAAGTTACTTTATGTGTGTATGCTGATGGAAATTTCCCAGTAGAAAGGGGAAAATTAATGATGCAAGAGAAAGAGGAAATTTGGGTATAGCAAAGGGGGGTGGGATCTAGTAAGCAAGTGGAAAGGTTGGTTGTAGGTAAAAGCATGGGCAGTTCATTCACAGAAACAGAGAAGGCAGAGTGAGCACAGGTGCAGGTAGATGGGTAGGTGATGGGCAGACCTTGTGGAAGCTCTCTTCTGATTGCTTCTATTTTCCATTACTTACCACCTTCCCTGTAGGCTCTTAAAGATGCCATTTGTCAGTTTATAGATATGTTTTGTTCTCCATCATCTGTTTATATGGTAATACATTAATAGAGTTTCTAACACTAAGCCATCCTTGAATTCCGGGGGAAAACCAACGTAACTTGATCATTATATATATATTTTTTTAACTTTTAATTTTGAGATCACTATAGATTCACATACAACATTAACATCTTTCCTAACTGTGGTAGAATATCATAATCTGGAAATTGACATTAATACAGCTCACTTTTTCAGATTTTACCAGTTTTACACCAATTCATTTCTGTGTGTGACTTTAATTCTGTGCAGTTGTATCACATCGATAGATTCATGTGACTTCCACCACAACTGAGATACAGAACAGTTCCATCATAAGGATCCCTTAGTATAGCTTTCTAAAAAGCATTTTTGCATCTATGCTCAGGAGTGAGACTAGTCTATGAGTTTCATTTCTTATATAGTCCTTATCAGATTTTGTTATCGAGATTATACAATCCTTATTCAATGGGTTGGGAAACAGAACTCTCCATTTTCACTGGAGGAGCTTATATAAGATTGGAATTATCTGTGCCTTGAATGTTTGGTGACACCCTCTGTAAAACTATCAGGGCCTGGTGGTATTTTGTTGGTAGATTTTTAACTACTGATTCATTTTCCATCATAACTACAGGCTTTTTCCTGTTCTGTTTTCTTTTTCTCTGGTTTTAGTAAATTCTTTCTGGAAAAATTATCCACTTTCTCTGTTACTGAATTTAAATGCATAAAGTTATTCTTAATATTGATCAAGTTATCACAGGTTTGTCTATCATCTTAGTCTTCAAAGAACCAACTTTTAGTATTTTAATTCTCTCTTTTATCTCTTTTAAAAAAATATATTGCCCAGCTGGCGTGGCTCAGTGGTTGAGTGTTAACCTATAAACCAGGAGGTCAGGGATCGATTCCTGGTCAAGGCACGTGCCCAGGTTTCGGGCTCAATCCTCAGTTGGGGGTGTGCAGGAGGCAGCCGATCAATGATTATCTCTCATCATTGATGTTTCTGTCTCTCTCTCCCTCTCCCTTCCTTTCTGAAATCAATACAAATATATAAAAAATAAAAATATTATATCCTTCTATCTTTATAATTTTTCTATCTATTTATTTATTTATTTTAAAATATATTTTTATTGATTTCAGAGAGGATGGGATAGGGAGGGAGAGATAGAAACATCAATGGTGAGAAAAATGTCTCCCACTGGGGATTGAGCCCGCAACCAGGAATCAAACCAGGAGCATGTTCCCTGACCAGGAATCGAACCGTGACCTCCTGGTTCATAGGTCGATGCTCAACCTCTGAGCCATACCAGCCAGGCTATAATTTTTTTCTTTTAAAATGTTTTTTTTTTACATACTTTGTTTTTTTAACTTACTGAGTTGAACAGTCTATCATTTTAGTTTTTCTTATTTCTCAAGGTGAGCATTTAAACCTTTTAGGTGTTGATATAGGTACCTCCCACAAACTTGGTGTTGTACTTGCATTCAGCTACAAGTATTTTTATTTTTATTTTTAAAATATATTTTATTGATTTTTTACAGAGAGGAGGGGAGAGGGATAGAGAGTTAGAAACATCAATGAGAGAGAAACATCAATCAGCTGCCTCCTGTACACACCCTACTGGGGATGTGCCCGCAACCAAGGTACATGCCCTTGACTGGAATTAAACCTGGGACCCTTCAGTCTGCAAGCTGATGCTGTATTCACTGAGCCAAACCTGTTAGGGCCAGTTACAAGTATTTTTAAATTTCCACTATGATTTGTTCTTTCACTATGAGTTATTAGAAATAGGTTTTTAAATATCCAAGTGTATGGTTTTACTCTTTAAATTATCATCATTCGTTTTTTTTCTTTCTTTTTTTTTTATCTTTACTAATTTCTAACTTAACTGCATTGTAATCTGTATGATATCAATTGTTTGAAATTTGTTGGGACTTACTTCATGCCTAAAACATTATCAGTTTATTTATTTATCTATTTTTAAAATATATTTTATTGATTTTTCACAGAAAGGAAGGGAGAGAGATATAGAGCTAGAAACATCGATCAGCTGCCTCCTGCACATCTCCCACTAGGGATGTGCCCGCAACCCAGGTACATGCCCTTGACCGGAATCGAACCTGGGACCTTTCAGTCTGCAAGCCGACGCTCTATCCACTGAGCCAAACCGGTTTCAGCCAAAACATTATCAGTTTAGGAGAGCATTTCATATTCACTTGAAAAAATATATAGGGTTCTATATATGTCTACAAATTAAGTTTATTAATTGGGTCAAATCTTCTCTGTACTTACTAGTTTTTTTATCTGTCAGATTTATTGATTACTGGCAAAGGGCATTTATTTACATTTTCATATCATGCTGTGGACTTGTCTAGTTTTCTTTATGATTCTGTCAACTATTCCTTTTATATTAAATGTATACAATTTAGATTGGTTATATATTCTTAGTAAACTGTTCCTTTATCACTTTATAGTGACCTTGTATGCCCTTGTATGATGGTTTCGATGAGTATAAAATTCTAAAGCAAATCACAAGCCCAACCCTAGGCAATGAGTCCTCAGCTCCTGATTACACTGGCTTCCAGTTTCCTTTCTTCTTTTGGACTCCAGGTTATTTCCTTTAATTAGCTGCCAAAGGAGCTACACTTTGGGTTATTTTTCCAGCATTTCTGTGTTCAGGAGGGTTATTTTCGTTTACCCTGTCATATCTTCGGAAAGGGAAGCTTTTTTCCTGTGCTATTCATTTCTGGGAATGACTCAAGAAGGGTGTTGAAATTGATTGCCACCTTCTACTCAAGGAGTATCTGATGTCTCCTGGGTCAGGGTCTGTTCTTGACCCTGATCACACCGTGTAAACACAGCTGCAGCAACTTAGGGCACTGTGGGCATCAGAGTGGGACAAAGAGAAGAGCAATAGCTGATGTTACTGAGCACTCACGTGCCAGCTTTGTTCTATTAGTTTTAAATGTATTAACTCATTTAATCCTCACAGTAGCCTTAGGAGGTATCATCTTCAGTTGAAAACTGAGGCATAGGGATGATAAATAATGTGATTAAAGTTCCACATATAATAAGTGCAACAGCTAAGATTTAAACTTCGGAACTGCCTCCAAAACCCAATTTCCCAACCCCTATGTCGCATTGCCTTATGAGAACACGGAGGGCTCTGAGCTCCAAGATTCACTGGACTGTACACTGAGCCCCTCCCTTTTTCCCACTGGGCATATTATGGGCCTCAGTTTCTTCTGTTCAACAGGGATAATTGTCGTCTGCACTGTACAAAGCAGGTCTTCAGGGACAGGACACCGGAAGCTATTGGCTATCTCTGACCTTGGCATGAAGGAGACTGTTCTCCTCTCACTTCATGCAACAGGTACCTTGGGTAGGACTCATTCCCAGATGGCACTGGTGTAGGGGGCTATTGTTGGACTGAAAGTCAAGAGAACTGGGTTCTAGTCCCAGCTCTGTCACTGACTCAGCATGTGAGTGCTATCAAGAGATTTTTGACTAAGTTGGGAACAAATTTCTTAGCAGTCATTCAGTAAATATTTAAGTGCCTACTATGTGGCAGGCACTGTACTAGTTACTAGGAGACACACATTAACTTTATTGGCTGAGAACTGATTTCAGGCCTCCTGTGTGGCAGGAAAGAATTCTACCATGGAAGCAGTTGGAATGGACAGTTAGGGAATAATAAGGCTTTTGTTATCAAACATCGTCAAAAATATCAACTGGACCACTGTTGGTACAGATCCTGTTGATGGGAATGACTTTGTAGGCCCTTCTGTTCTGCAGTTCTGTGATCTCTGACCTTGATCCCTTGGCCTTGGTATTCCCATCTGTGAAATAAGCAGGTGACTCTAGTTGATCTCTAGGCCCTGCCCACCTCTTCCATTCTGGGAACCTGGTTCTGTGAGATATAGCCTGGATGTCTGGATTTCACATTTCTTTACCATAGTTGGGAACTCTTAGGGCTGGGATGGCTTAAGTAAGCACTGTTACTGCCACTACAGTGCCCATGACAGACATTGCTGATCAATTTCGGTACCCCTTTGGGCTGTGCCCAAATCCTCCTAAGCTTTTTTTTTTTTTAAATATATTTTTTATTGATTTCAGAGGTGAAGGGAGAGGGAGAGAAAGATAGAAACATCAATGATGAGAGAGAATCAGCTGCCTCCTGCACGCCCTCTACTGGGGATCGAGCCCACAACCTGGGCATGTGCCCTTGACTGGACTTGAACCCAGAACCCTTCAGTCCGCAGGCTGACGCTCTAGCCACTGAGCCAAATCTGCTAGGGCGAAACCCTCCTAATCTTGACTGGGGCTTTGCCAGGATCTGACTCTGTTTTTCATCCCTCGCTAGAGCATGGCCAGCGCAGCGCGGGAACTGGTCATCCAGCGGCTGGGTCTGGTGAGGAGTCTGTGTGAGACTGAGGAGCAGCGGTTGCTGGAACAGGTGCATGGCGAAGAGGAGCGGGCCCACCAGAGCATCCTGACGCAGCGAGTACACTGGGCTGAGGCTTTGCAGAAGCTCGACACCATCCGCACCAGCCTGGTGGACATGCTCACCCATACGGATGACCTCCAGCTGATTGTAAGTCAGGCGAGGTTTGAGGGCATGTCTCTCCAAAAAGTCTGAAAACTTCGAGAATGTTTATTGGTTGGAGGTGGGTGGATAATGATAATTTGAAGCAGGGATGAGTCAGGGGAATAAAATTATATAGATTTTTAGAAATATATTTTTATTGATTCCAGGGAGGGAGAGAGAGATAGAAACATGAGATATATGTATTTTTTGCACCTGGTCACTATTCTTTGAATAGTGAGCAAAATTCATTGAGTGCCTACTATGTGCTAAGCATTGTGCTGTGGGGTGGAGTTGCAGTATACAGCTGTCAGTGACTCACAGCCTTATGGACGAGACAAATACAGAAACTGATAATTAGGATATGGAGGATGTGTGCTGTGGTAGATGACATTCCTGGGAGCGAGGGACCCCACAAGCCAAACTCGAGGGGGTCACGGAAGGCTTCCTGGATGAAGTGACTTAGAAGCTGATGCCTGAAAGATAAGAGTTGCAACTATGTTAAAGGACATGGGAGGTGGAGAGATAACTCCATATCTGAAGAATTGATAAGGAGTCCAATATGAAAATATACAGCTCATCTTTAATCCTACCATCTAGAAATCACTATGATTAATATTTTGGCACCTATCCTTTCAAAGTATTTTATATAGATATGCAGATATCTGCAGTTTTAAGGGACATTGTGACATCTGAATAAATATGCCAAGCAGAGAAATGAGAATGTAGAACAACTGAGCTGTCTGTACCACTGCAGTTCAAGTAGGACAGCTTCCATGAGTGCCCTAGATTGTGCATTCATTTAGTCACACAGCTTTCACGGACAGAGCACGTTCTGTCCGAAACGCTGGGACAGTCACAGTAGAAGATTCAGAAAAGGGTCCCAGCCATCTAGTGGCTGACAGTCTTGATGGGGGACGAAGTGTTGGGTAAATATGCACCTGTCCTGAAGTGTAAGTGCAGGAAACTCAGGACACCATGGGGCACAGGGGGCAGAGTGATTCATTCTGAGTGGGGGGTGGGGAGGTATGCGAGGAACCCATGCAGCTTTGTGCCTTGTCTTAGAGAAGGAGTAGAATTTTTTATCCTAGGGTCTCTGTCTCCGCGGAGCCCTCCACGCCCGTTAAATCTATTCAGATCTTGACTGCCTGCTGGGTTTCTGGTGCCAAGCCTGATTCTGTTTTCTTTTCTCACAGCAGAAGGAGCAGGAGATTTTTGAGAGGTGAGTATGGTCCCTGATTTGCTTGGGCAGTCATGGAAACCGTGGCCTTCGGGCCTCTAAATAGTTCACTGCATTCAGGCTCCGCTGCTCCTGGGGGGGAAAGCCCAGGGTGTGCAGCTGTGAGTGGCTTCTCTGGCGCCAGGCTCGATGGATGGGGCCTTCCTGCTCCTCGCTTGGAGACCTGCTTTAGACACATGTGTAAGGGAGTGAGATAATCACTTATTAACCAGAGGCTTGCCACAGTCTAACATCATCCCATTAAAAACTGTACTGTCCCCCTGTTGGAGGGTTTTACCAGCCCATCTCCAGATGCGAATGCTGAGGCTCAAAGAGGGGAAGGGACTTGCCCAAGCCCCAGAGCTGGGACTGGGACCCACACCTGACACCTGTCTCAGGACTGTCTCCTCAAATTTGCATGTGAAGTAGGCAATATGAAAAGAATTTCACCAGGCCCTACCTAGGTCCCAAAAGGCTGGGAACCAAGAGTCTGAGGAGTGGCGAAAAGGATGTAAATTGCCAGGCAAGGAAATTAAATTCTTAATCAGTGCAAGATTTCAGAGCTGTACTTGAGGAGCACAGCCCATTATTCTTATCTATTTTTGTATTTAAGTTCAATAGCAATACATATGTATGATAGAAAGAAAAAAAATCCACCAATATAAAACTATTCAAATTAAAAATGAGTCATCTCTTCCCAACCCCATTCTCTAGAGGTGATCAGTTTTAACAGTTAGTTGTATGTCTTTGGGACTTTCCTATATATAATCATAGGAGAATTTTTGCCTCCTTAAAAAAATATTTTTTTAAACACAGATGGGATCATTTTTATAATTGCTGTTCTATAATTTATCAGGCTAATTTGGGATCTTTCCATGTGAATACATGTAGACTTCACTTTTCGGAAAGTCTGTGAAGTATTCCACAGTATGGATGCACCACATTCATCTTACTGTCTCCTTTTACTTTTTTAAATATACATTTTTATTAAGTATATTTTCAGAGAGAGAAAAGGAGAGGGAGAGATAGAAACATCAATGATGAGAGAGAATCATTGATCAGCTGCCTCCTGCACGCCCCACATTGGGGATCGAGTCTGCAACCCAGGCATGTGCCCTGACTGGGTATCAAACTGTAACCTCCTGGTTCATAGGTTGACACTCAACCACTGAGCCACACCGGCCAGGTTTCTGTCTCCTTTTCATGTGTATTTGGCTTGTTCCTACTTTTCCCCTCCTGTAATCTTCCCACCTTTCTGCTGGTCTTCTCTTTTTTCTCTATTTTTATCATCTTCCTCTAATACAGTCAGTCTGTGTGCAATATCAAGTTGATGTGATTTTTTTAAAATAAATTTTATTGATTTTTTTACAGAGAGGAAGGGAGAGAGAGAGTTAGACACATCGATGAGAGAGAAACATCCATCAGCTGCCTTCTGCACATCTACTACTGGGGATGTGCCTGCAACCCAGGTACGTGCCCTTGACCGGAATCGAACCTGGGACCTTTCAGTCCGTAGGCCGACGCTCTATCCACTGAGCCAAACCAGTTTCGGCAATTTTTGAAAAAAATTTTGATCATCAAATTTTTTGTTTTGAATATTTTTAACTCAGAAAAGTTAGAAAAAGTATTACTTGCCCTAACCGGTTTGGCTCAGTGGATAGAACGTCGGCCTGCGGACTGAGGGGTCCCAGGTTCGATTCCGGTCAAGGGCATGTACCTTGGTTGCGAGCACATCCCTAGTGGGGGGACGTGCATGAGGCAGCTGATTGATCTCTCTCATCCATGTTTCTGACTCTCTATCCCTCTCCCTTCTTCTCTGTAAAAAATCAATAAAATATATTCAAAAAAATAAATTAAAAAAAAAGAAAAAGTATTACAATGACCTTTGCCTAGAAATACTAATTGTGTTAACATTTTGCCATGTTTGCTCTTTCTCACTCTCTCTTTTTTCCTATCTATCAAGATGATTGCTCCTCTGTACTAGCATAGTATCTTTTAAAAAAAATTATAGCCTGGCCAGTGTGTCTCAGTGGTTGAGCATCGACCTAAGCACCAGGAGGTTACAGCTTGATTCTCGGTCAAGGCACACATGACTGGGTTGTGGGCTCGATCTCCAGTAGGGGGCGTGCAGGAGGCAGCTGATCAATGATTCTCATCATTGATGTTTCTTTTTCTCCCTCTCCCTTTCTCTCTGAAATCAATAAAAATAGATTTTAAAAAAACACCTTTTTTTCTCAACTATTTGAGAGTAAGTTGTAGAAAATATTTTATTCCTAAATACTTCAGCATTTATCTCCTAAGAACAAAGACATTCTCTTACATAACCACAGTATAATTATCAAGTTCAGAAATTTAATGATGATATAATACTATAATCTAATATACAGTCTATATCCAAATCTACAGCCAATTGTACCAAAAAAGTTCTTAACAGTGTTTAGTGGTTTCTTTTTGTTGTTGTTGTTGTTTTCCTGGTCCATCTCTTAGCTTTTAATCTGGAATTGTTCCTTCACTTTTTAAAAAAAGAAAAACATTTTTAATGAGTCTAGGACAGTTGTTTTGTAGAACATTCCTCAATTTGAGTTCATCTGATGTTACCTCATGATTGGGTTCAGGTTATGCATTTTTGGCAAGAATATCTCATAAGTGATGTGTTCTCAGTCTGTCAAGTCAGAGGGCACGTGATGTCACTTTGTCCCTTATCAGGAATGTCAATTTTGATCACATGGATAAAATGGTGTCTATCAGGTTTCTTCATTATAAAGTTATGTCTTTACTTTTGTAATGAATAAGCAACGTGAGGAGGTGCATTTTGTATAAATAACCTCTTTACCTTCAAACTTCATCCCATAATTTTAGTCTCCATTGATGCTAAATTCCTGAATTATTCACTTATTTATTTGCTTGTTCATTCATTTATTTAGTATAAATATAGACTTGCAAATTCTTTTTTTTATTCAGTGTATTATAATCTGATACTACTACTACTATTACTAATTTTGATCTTCAAACTGTCCTAGATTTGGCCAGTTTTAGTCCCTGGGGGCTGGATCCTGGATCCTTTTGACAAGTCCCCATTATTCTTTTCTAAAAAATTAAACATATTTTTATTGATTTCAAAGAGGAAGAGAGAAATAGAAACATCAATAATGAGAGAGAATCATTGATCAGCTGCCTACTGCATGCCCCACACTGGGGACCAAGCCCACAACCCGGGCATGTGCCCTGACCGGGAATCGGATCATGACCTCCTGGTTCATAGGTGGACACAACTACTGAGTCACGCCGGCTGGGCCCCATCATTCTTTAAATACTTTCTTGTGTTCCAGCACAACATAATGGCCCGGGCTCACCTTGTTCTTTTCCTGCCTCAGCCCTGGAGCCAGCTATTTCTCCAGGGACTCTTGGTTCCTTGTAGTGGGGAGTGGTATTTAAAAACTGAGATCTGGGCAGTAGATGTGCCTTGCTGCCGATGCATCATTGCTTCCAGGCCTTCTCAGTAGACAACAGACAGAGCTGGGAAGTGTGAGTGTTTTTTTCATTCATGAGATTGTATTACAACTTCTAATTCCAAGGGAACACTACAGCATTTTTCCTTTGATTTCTCCCATTCTACGTTTATATCTTTCTTTTTTCACAGTGAGAACCTTGGCACCCCACAACAGCAATATAGTCATTCATTTGTTTGGTTCCTATAATACACATAGAGTTGTTTGAGAATTGCTTAAACAAAATACCACTGACAGCCCTCGCCGGTTTGGGTCAGTGGATAGAGCGTCGGCCTGCGGACTGAGCGGTCCCAGGTTTGATTCTGGTCAAGGGCATATGCCCGGTTGCAGGCTTGATCCCTGGTAGGGGGTGTGCAGGAGGCAGCCGATCAATGAGTCTCTCTCATCATTGATGATTCTCTCTCTCTCCCTTCCTTCCTCTCTGAAATCAATAAAAATATATTTAGGAAAAAAAATACTACTGACAAACCCATTCGTAGAAGTCAAAATTTATTTGCGGTTCCTTGTGCCTTTAGAAAGTACTGTGTTCAAAAGTTGTCAGGCACCTTCTAGCTGGGAACTGACTTGTCTGAGAAATGCCTTTTTTGGATCTGGTTTTGTTTCCACATCCCCGGCTGGGTTCAGCTGCAGCCTGTCACATGGCAGCAGGTCCTGCTGCAGAGACCGGGCCTTCAGATCCCAGCCAGGGCCCTGCTGTGTCCGAACCCCAATTCACTCCCAGGAATTTTCCCTTCCGTACCAGAAGGCACATGGACCAGCTGATTTTCTAGGTTCTGGTGACTATGATTGGCTTCAGATTTGCTCTGGGATGATGGCTTAGCAAAGCTTAGCCATGTAGACACTGGTCCTCTTTCCTCCCCAACTGATGGCTGGGGTCCCTGAAAACCCAGCTTCACTGCTGTGAGAAGAGGCATCAGACCCTCTGTTGTCCTGACCACAAAGACTCTTTGTTACTAGAGCCAGCACTCAGCTTTTCTAGCTCGTTCTTCCCCAGCCAGGATAGTCAGTGACAGTCTTGCCAAGAGCAGGCGTCCATGAGACATGCACCCCCCCCCGCCCCCCTTCATTAATGAGCAGAGCTGGGAGAGTTGGGGCAGAGAGCGTATACTCTCAGAACTGCTGCCTGATCTCAGAGCCACCAGGATTAGAGGCAGTGGGAAGTTCTTCCTCAGAACCCAGTTCAAAAGGCTGCAAATCCCCACTTTGCTCTATTCCCTTTGAGACTTCACTTCTGGTCAAGGAAAGAATGACGTTGAACGGTGCCGGGAGGTAGGACTTGAATCAGATCCCCGTTTTAGCTGAGTGTCTTCTCTGTTCTCTCCTGTCAAGTGGGGAACAAGTACCTCCCAGGTTATACCAAAGATGACGTGAGATTCTGTATAGAAAGGAGCAGGCCCGGAGCCTGGCTGCTTAATAAGTGGCATTTCTCCTTGTTCCCCAATTCCCTCTCCAACCAAACTCAGTCCCCGGCCTTGAGCTGAGGAGAGGTAGTTATTGGGAGCAAAGTGCTGTGAATAATTTATGATTGGGGAAATAACCGATAGTCCCTTCCTGTGTGACCCCACAGGGGTGTTGGCATTTTAAGACCAGAGGAGTTGGCTGTACCAGCTAATCAAACCGAGGGCAGCATGCAACCCAACTGCTGCAGTTGGTTTTGGAGGGAGGTGAAATTTCCTCTGGGCAGGAAGGTGGCGTGGGAAGACTGCTGCACAGAGGTCCAAGGTGCCCAAGTCCTAACTTGGCTCTGCCCAGTACCAGATCCTTGGACGAGTGAGCAGCTTCGTCCACAGAGCAGAATGACTCCAAGTTATGATACTGGCGCCAAGTAGTTACCGCCTTGTCAATCATCTGCCTTGTGTAATTAAGGCTTGGGGGAGCGGAGGGTGCACAGGGGGAATGTCCACCTTCCCTTTGGCTCCAGCCCCCTTAAGGCAGCTCCTGTCTGAGGCTGGCGGCCAATCTTGGTGCCACCCTTGTGGGAAGAGGATTTTCTGCCACCTTCCTTCCCCCCAACCCCCATCACCCTGTGTTGATCCAGATACATTTCCAGAACCTTTCTGAATCTGTTTTATTTTCTTTCTTACAAGGGCTGAGGAAGCAGAGGGCATTTTGGATCCCCAGGAGTCGAAAAAGTTAAACTTTAATGAGACGTGTGCTTGGAGCCCACTTCTGAACCAGCTCTGGGCAACAGCCGCTCTCGGCTCCCTCTCAGGTTAGAAGCTCGAGCCCAGCACCTGTTGGGGCAACTGGGCATCTGTCTGTCTGTCTGTCTGTGATTTGCTGTGGCCAACACTGGGGCCTGGTGCATTCGGGATGGTAGCTTAAACAACCAGTGATACTGGGTGCAGGTTTGCCACTGGAGCCAAGGTTCTGGAAAGGCCTGGGGCACCTGGGCCAGGTCCTGCCCGTTAGCAGACCGACCTGCTCTGTAGTTGGGTCTAGGATAAATCTTGTTCTGGTAAACCACATCCTCCTTATGCCCTGCCCTACTGAGACAGCTCAGTATTATTTCTTGGAAACCTGGTTTCTTTTTAAGAAGAGAGATATTAATTGATGGCGAACTGGGAGCGAGAATTGAGCTTCCTGGATTCATCTCACTTTACAAACATAGACTCAGGCTGACTGTGGACCTGACCTTGTGCTGCATGCTGGGCCCACAGAGGTGAATGTGACACGGTCTCCTGCCTCCAAAATTCCCACTTATAGTGCGGGGGTTCTCAGAGCAGGCTAGAAGTTTCCATTCTCCCAGTTGTGGTAGTTACACAATTCATAGGTTAATTAGTGAATTGACATTTTTCTCAATTTTAACCCTCCCCACCTCCCAATTTCCCATTCCCATTCTCCTTAAA